GTACCACAGTTACTCACCTGTGAATAAGCATCTCAGTTATCTATGGCTGGCCAGCTGGACCAATGTATTGTCATACTTTTAACGCCGTAAAATCTAAACAATCATTTCAAACAAGTGATATTTCAAAATGGTGCGGCAAAGTGAAAATAGACTGATATTTATGCAGCAAATTGAGCGGCAAATAGGCGACATATGTCGACAATGAAGGACTCCTCCTGTAGGAATAAGAAATAAAGAATCAATTTTGAGAAGATAGGCAACTTTGCACTGATTTTTGCATATTTTTGGTTTGTGGTTTTCCTTTTTTAATTTGCCTATTTTTAATCTAAGGCTAATCTGTAAATGAAGGTGTGAAAACTTAAAAAAATGCCAACAGTGGCAGTTTTATACCACATATGTCTAAGGAAAGTGTTGACAATTATTTGCTACAATTTGAGAAATCCTCATTTGTGTCAGCCCAGAAACTGTATGATGACGGATATTTGCAGTATATCCGCAGCACAACATGGGAAGGACTGACGCTTGTCGAAGCTGGTGTCAATGCAAGTATGAAGAAGCAACTCATATATAATGTTGACATGTCCATTGATAAACATGGTGTAGTACAGGAAGCACAGTCGGCATGGGACCAGATTGCCATTACAAACACGTATCCATAGTTTTATTTGCAACCATAGACTTTTCTTCAATCATTCCACCCAACACTAAACACCATGGTTCACCAGTCAAGGCTGAGAATTTGAAAATGGCTGGAGAAGATTTGACTTTGAAAGGTCAAAGGGGATTGTTTTTAACTGGAAGGTGCATCAACAAATTTATGTAGAATAAGATGCCAACGGTAATTTGGTTAGGAGAAGGAATCTTTTTGTAGATGATGTCGGTCAGAATAATGAGACTGATGATTCTAGCCTTGATGTTGAGGCATTTCCTATGGAAGATGAAGATGTCCCAAGCTGTGAATCACCAACTACATCTCTGTTTTAAAGACTGACCTCTTAAGTACAGAATAAGCAAAACATATAATTATATTTCTTTGATGTCTCATATTTTTGTATTTTTGTATTGTATACATATTGTAACATATCATTGTAAAGATGTATGCATACTTTGAATGCTTACAGTGTTCATGTAAGTATATTGTAAAATTAATTATGGGCAGTTATACACCCCTTGGGGTGTCAAAGCCTGTGTTGTGAATTTGTTATGAGAAATGAAATAAAATTATTTTGAAATTGATTGAATTGATTTAAAATATTACCATTATCCAACAGAAGTCACAAGATAAGAATGGCAAGCAAGATAAGGAAAATTGCAAGCAAGATATGTTTTTGTTAATTGATGGAGACCAAAAATTCTGGAACAAGAGAAACAAAATCACCTCTTACATTATCAAAATTAGCCAAATAATTGCCTTGGTGGTAAAAAACATCTAATATAATTGTAATATAATTTAAATACTGGAGAGATTGTTATGCAACAAAATGGTTCCATGCTTAAGGGAACATCATTTTGCTTGCCATCATGTTCACTGTTGAATAAATACAAATGTCCAGTGAAACAGCGACCAGGAGTAGACTACCACATGTTAAAATGAATGCGTGAAAACACAGACATTAAAGGGACACATTGACAGGGTGGTGTTCTTATAGATGAAATGAAAATACAGGAAGACATGACTCTACATAACTGTAAGGACTACATGGAAATTATTGGACTAATTGATATAGGGGATATAAGCGACGCAATGCAAAACATTGTATCAGAGGAATATTCATTGATAGCTGCATATATAATCCAATTCATGTTCATTTCATATGATGGTTTTCGTTTCCCAATTGCATATTTTTCTACAAAAACAGCATCTGCACCAGAAATATGATGAATGTTTTAGGACGTCCATTACAATTTAATGGACTTCCAATTTGAGTTGACTTTTTCAGTTCCGATTGAGCAGCCCCAAACAGAAGTTTTTTTTAAACTAACATGAATTTGTCTGAGAAAGCACCAAGACAATGTGTTGTCACAAATAATTTCAAACGTGTTTGTAACTGCATTGAGAAATCATCCACTACTGGAAAAAAAATTAATACTGGATGAGACACCAATTTTATGGCAACATTTCGTTGATGCATACAATTGGTATAGAGAAGCCAACCATAGCATGAGATTACATCTCGACCTGACCCCAGAACATATTGTTTTGGAGAACAATTTGCTGAAGATTAGAAATCATCTGGCAGAAGATTCAATGTATTGAAATACTAGAAAATAAAAAAATTGGACAAAATGAAGATTTGGGAAAAGTTAAACTTTGGATAAAAATTAAAATTGATTAGATAGAAATATGTGTATATGTCATTTCGAACTACTTGTCACATCTTCTTTCAGGTTTGAATTGCCCGCCCACCCACACTTATCAGATTTATCTCTTATTGTAGGTGGTTAAGACATCTGAGAGCTCAATATATAATGACATTTGAACTTTGTAGCTGAAATTTCATTGCCTCAGATGTGCAAGCTGCCAAATTCTAATTTGTTTTTTTCTTGCAGTATTTTAGCATGAATTTTTTTATTTTGTGAGTATCTTTGTGAGTGCAGTTATGTTATTGTTCTTTTATTTGCCTTGTTCTGTTATGTTGTTTTTTATTGTATTTATTAATAATGTGTACTTGCTCCAGCCTTAAAAATAATAATATTATACATTTTTAAGTTATCTTATGTTTATGCTTTAAGTGTGAGGAGGTAATTGATGGTTATGAAGTAGTAAAAAAATGAAGTAGTCTGGGACATGTTGGTGGAGATGTAAGGAGACTAATTCAGCGAAGATATACTTTGAACTCACACATGAACATTTATTTCCCAATGATGGACAGAAAATGAGGAACCACTTGGCATTCGATGTCCTCAATGAGAAGATGTTATTTCTTGCACAGGTAAAAAGAAAACTCTTACTTTTGAACACATAAATTTTATTTTGTAATTTACTAGTAGCAATTTTTTGCAGGATACAGCAGGATACCACATCAGGGGTTAATGATATTAACACCAATGCTACAGTGTCGATTATGATCAATGGGAGGGAACAAGAAGCACCATAATGGCTGGAGAGCAGAGTCGAGAAGTTTTAAGATAAGGTGATCACAATATACCTGAAACGTTGTTAAATAAATCAGAACATTTTGGACGAGGAACAATACTGAGAGCATTCAATTCTATGTATAATATTTCAATGACAACACTTTTAATTAAAAACAGGAGTAGATATTGAATCGGGCATCAATTTGCAAAGAATACGTTCAAAATATACATTACTAAGTACTAATTTTTTTAATAACCAATAACAGATGAAGTCCGAAATTTTAACATATAATGTATAAATGTATAACACATATGTGTACTAAGTTTCAATGTAAAAGTCCTATTTTCCTTGAAGTTATGGCATCAACTGCAAAACTTTTTGAACCACCTAAGTATAAGACAAATAGAAACACGAAGATGTAAAGCACTTAAAAGCACTTGAGTCTGAAAAACTCAAACCACTGAACTACGAACATGCAAGACAAGGCTATACCAACACAAGGACAAAGCACACCATGGTAGTAGCTCAGCTAGGTGTCCTAAAACAATGACTTGTAGATCATATTCATAAAAAGACAAGACAAAGAGACATAGCATTCCACCTGCTAGAAAAGTCAATGCTGAAACTGAGCCATGGGGAACCCAACACAGATTTCACAAATTACATTCATCATGCATAGTAATTTTAACTAATAGTATAATTCCAGCACAAACACCAACTCTCTTTTTCAAACATATAAATCTTTCGAGGATGAACAAAGGTTTTGTTATTAAATACATCTTTAAATATACTGAGGGCAGGTTCTAACTAGTTTTTTCACTAAAACATACATAATTCAATTTGAGATAAAGCCAGAACACTTAAAACAAATTATGACGAAAAAAATATTTTCAAGCTTGTCATCTGGTGAAAAGGCACCAGAAAATGTTGCAGATGATCTCCTAGGAGCATTAGAAAAAGGTGAGACTGCATTTAGCACGTTTAAAAATGAATGATTTGTCCACAGGACAGAACCGTTTCACGCCCCTATAAAAAGGATGAGATTAGCAACATTTGCAACATTAAACCTGAAAAAGAAAGTCACTACAAAAGACAACAAAACAGTAGAAATAACTGCACACAGAAACTTATTTGGACAACTTTTAACGCATGCCCAAAAACGTAATATTGATCTCAAAAAACTCCTCCAATATCCTCTTGGGCCAATCCCATGGGCACTTGCTACAGCAGATGGAATGCCTGTTAAAACAGCAAAGAGTACTCTGCAAAATGCAATAATGAAACCATTTAAATCTACAAGTGTACCAAACAAGGATTTCACTTCTTAAGTAATTGATGGAAACTCCTTATTTTATCAAATTGCCCCTATGCCAAACACATTTGAAGAAGTTTCTCAATCCATATTCAACAGCCTTCCAAAAAGTAGAACAGTTCATTTTGTGACAGACACTTACAAAAATGACTCTCTTAAGGCAAGTGAATGCTCCAAGATATTTTGTGATAATTAGTCATACTTTTGTACAGTATATCATGATATTGTCCAAAAGGAGCATAACCTCAATGTGTTTATTTTCATTTTAGACAGTCTTAAACAGTCAAAGGGAAACATTACAGATGAGGTCATCTTAAGACACGGACAGATGACTGGTGCAACTAAAGACCTATTGAAAAATATATATTTCAAAAATATTGTGTACGTCAAAAACAAAGAAAGTTTTCAAGTACAGTATGACTAACTTTGTAAATCAATACTTCAAAGATGATTTGGTTTCATACAAGCACTCAAGAAGCCACACATCTTTTCCAGAGTATATCAATAAATCAGGATACAAATAACTAGATATTGAACTAGGTCCTTCAAATTACAATGACACTTCAAATGATTGGGTTGCCAAGGGTCACACGACCAGCCTACAAGGTACTTAAATGCAAAAAAAATATAAATATTGTCAAACAGTCTAGAGAAAGATGTTCAAAGGGACAAATAAAGAGGCAGAAAGACAGAGGATAGTGCTTTGAAGTGAGAAAAATCCATATCTTGAAATATATCATTTTTTTAGATTTGCAGATCACAAGATATAACAAATGCACCAAAATGCATACAGTTAAAAACTCTTTTGGAAAATACTGTGGATAGTGCCACAAAAGCTGGTACTGTCAAAGTAGAGATAGAGAATCTAAATAAGTAAGGAAATCTGAGGTTCAAAGGATTATTATATCACAAATAGACTTTCACAGTGTCAACATTAGGGAAATAGTTTGTAAAATATTACCAAGTTAGCTTGCCTCATGTCTTATTCATGCTATTACCAACATGGTTTGTTCCATGTTTATCTTTCTGTCTCGTGATATTCATACTTTACTTCATTTCTAAATTGTTTAAATGAATAATGAAGCATCTATTCATTTTTAGGAACAAGACAGTATGAGGTTTTAATGCTGGTTGACCGGCTCCTTAGAAGGATTTCACAGTGTCGTGAATCATTTTGCTCCTAGAATGATTCACTTTGGTTATGCAGGGATGACAAGCAGGTAAACATATTGATTATAATTGATTAGCTTGGGGGTTTGGCCACAATTATTGTGACAATACCTGTATATTGTTTGGTCGATTTGATGGGACTCTAGCCAGGTCTAACAATAGTTTATGCCAAATACATTCATAAGAAAGAAGTCATTGTTCCACAAAGATACAGAATCTTACAACTTTCTTCTTAGGCATATAGCAATGTGACAAATTATAATGTATAAACATAAGGGGTTTATAAAATGTTACAAAATCTTATATGGCATGTGTAATTTTTATTAACAATGATCCATACTGGAGTAAACATCACATGTTATTTTATGTATCTACTACAGTTTTACTTATACCTGTTGCCAAAGATGCGCTTTTTTGTCTTTCGTGTGTGTTATTCAGAGCTGATAACAATTCGTCCTTTACAAAGGAAATAGGATATACAAACTGGTCAAACATAGGCGCATCAGTGAAAAAGCATAACACCACTGACCTTCACAAGGGCAATACAATTGGATTAGATAACTTCTACCGAAGTATGATTATATAAAAGAAATAAATGAAGCCGAGTTCTTCAGTATATTGGCTGATGAGGCTACCAACAGTGCAGTATATGAGCAGCTGGCTTTATGCATCAGGTATATCAAAACATTTCCTGATAAGCCATCCATCTTGAAAGAGGAACTGCTCGAATTTAAAAAATACTCCAATGGTAAAGCGGTAAAGCGGAAACAATTACAGATGCGATGTCATGGCAGGGGTTCACAATGGAGTACAGGCACGAATTACGGGACGATACGAACGAGCTGTGTACGTTCACTGCCAGGCACATGTATTGAATCTGTGTATTGCCTCATCATGCAAGGAAATCCCTCTGGTTCACAACCTTATCAACATGGTCCAACAGATTCCATTCGCCTTCAAATATAGTGCTAAAAGAATTTTCAGACTTCAAGACAAAATTAGAGCACATGGTAACCCTGCAGCTGGACAACAACAGAAAATCAAGACTCTAAACAAGCTAAAATAGCTTCAGAATGTTTGATGTTATGTCGGTCCAGGGGTATCTATACCTCCTTCACGGAAATAAAGATAAAGATATATCAAAATATATATCATGTTTTGTTTTCAAATCTTCAGAGCTGATTGATAATTAAATTAAATGATGAATTACTGGTAAGAAAATCGAAAATATTGATCTATAAAAAGCATCCATGTAAAATTACTCATTGATCACCCCTCATATGCAGTGTGGAAGCTTAACAGTCGCACCTCGCCAGAGGCGGAAATGAAAAGTGCTGGGCGATAATTTGTGATTTTTACTTATCTTGCTTGCGATTATGGATTTAGAACGCTTTCAGGCGAGAATCCCGGCGACATACCCACAACATTACTGTGGAGAGGCAGTTATCTATGCAAACTGGGGCTATATTTCACTAAAGTCCTATAATTCGGACGTAAATTCGCCTATTTCCGTTTCAAAGTTCTTTGCAATGTTCATGGCATTTTCTTCACTAGGTGGCAGCACGATTGATAGGGTACCCTCTCGTGCTCATTGAATCAAGAGAGGGATACAAGGTGATTGTGACCTATATTTTTCATCCAATCAAATGTAAGTATATAATGATACGTCATCTAATTATCGCAAACGATTGTGGGATAGCTTTATTCCTTCGCTATGGATGATAGATGGAAATCGTTCGGATTTCTTTGGATTTCTTCCCACAAAGCGAGCCAATGGTAATTTACAAACTATAAATTGTTATTTATGAAGTATATACTTGTATGTATTTATTTCGATACTTGATTGTGGCTCTAACCCTAAATGCATATCGGCATATTACTACCCCGGATTACTACGCGTTCATGAATGAAATAGTTCTACTATGCTCCATGCTATATTGTTTACAAACTTTATACACGTGGACTCAAGTGTTATGAATTTCATAATTAATTAATTTACTCTAATTGACAAATTATTTCGACATACTAGTAGTTAATTTCATAATGCTTATTTTGCAACTGAGGTTCCATCTTGTTCTAGTAATAAAGGCAAAGGCTACAAGAGCACTAATGGTTCTGCCACTGGTAAAGCCTGGTATTTTTATGACTTTCTTGCAAAAGAAGTAGAACCTGAACAAATACATGTAGTACTACAGTGGCGGATCCAGGAACCAACAAGGGGGGGGCCCAAATTTGAGAATATAAAATAAACCTCTGCGCTTGCGCGAAAAAAAATTTTGGGCCCGTAAAACCGAAAAAGTGGGCCCAAATTTTGAAAATTTGATGCCCATTTTCTTCCAAATTTGGCCTAAATTAAAAAAATAAGGCCTTAGAAGGCCCAATAATGACCAAAAGGCCCACTTTTTGGGGCCTTAAGGCCTTTTTTGGCCTAAAATTTTTTTGGGCCCAAATTCTTTTTTTTTGGGCCAACCTTAGGGGGGGGGCGGGCCACACTTAAACAAAATTTATCAAGGATGAAAACAGTTTAAGTTATCTCTACAGTTGACTATACCAATATAATTCTTTTAAATAATTCTTTTGATTGTAATGAGCTTATAACAATTCGTCCTTTACAAAGGAAATAGGGTATACAAACTGGTCAAACAGAGGCGCATCAGTGAAAAAGCATAACGCCACTGACCTTCACAAGGGCAATACAATTGGATTAGATAACTTCTACAGAATTGGTATTAACAATAACAATGACGGAGACGTCGTGGAGTTACTTGTTAATGAGGATGATAGGATAATCAGAACAAACAAAGAGATAATGCTCGCTATCTTGGATGCTGTCATATTCCTTGGGTCCCAAAACATGGCCTTCCGAGGCAAAGAAGATTTGTCAAATTGTATGTCCCTAGTCAAATACACGGCCTCAAAAAGTCAAGTTCTTCAAGATCATTAAAATAGCGCACCAAAATATGCAACCTACCTCTCCCCTGAACTACAAAACGAACTGATAAGTTTGTGTGGTGATCAGATCCGAAGTATGATTATACTTCCTGGTTTGGAATCTATGCCTCTACACTTCATGATTGAATTATGACCCTAATAAGTGGCCTATACATCAATACAGTGCTGAATATAGGTCAATAGGATACTAGTGTGCATATAAATGTATTAATTGAAGCAGAATACTCATTTTGAAAAATCAGATGAATTATTTATTTCCCATGGTGAGATCCCAATGGAGGGTGTATCAGGTCCTTTATTCCTTTAGTAAACAATACTAGACATGCAATTGATTGCCAAAGTTTTATAAGTTTTGCAAAACTGTCTAATTAAAACAGGAGTAAAATTAGTGGTTTTACTGGATACTTGAAATATAGCTAAATCTAGAGCTATAAATATGTAAATAGATTATGATATGATTTTTATCCACAAATAATTTTGTTATATTTCCTAACATGCGCATATGCATGAGTGGATTTAACTCATAAGATAAGTAAATTATAGAATGTTGACTTTTCTCTAAAATCAAATAGTGTAAATAGATACAGAATGACACACTATGGAACCAGACACAATAAACTATGAATATCACCCTAACTAGCACTGACACAAACAAACTATGGAATAATAATAGTAATACTGTATAATAGTCTGTTCACCTATAGTAATATAATAATATTATAAAAATGATATTGCTATGTTGGTTCTGTTGCGATACTTTAAGTGGTCCTTTAATAACCTTCAGTAAATAAACTGAAAAACGTTTCGCAAATATGCCAGAAGTACAAAATGACAAATGTCACTGCAACTGAGAGACTCATATTAATCGAGAGCCTCCTGTCAGGAATAAATGAGGCAACTTTGGTCACCAGTCAAAACACACTTTGACGCATCAGGGGTTTCTCAGGCATGTGAGGCACACGATACCATTGCAGCACTTATTCAAAGGTAAGTTCCTTTGACCTTGAAAATTTTTAAAATTTTGAAGATTTTTTTTCTTCATCTCAAACGTTTGTTCACAACATAATAATGAGGTATATTTTTTTCATGAATTTTATTGTAAACAATGTAATGTAGTAGTGAATACTGGACCGCCTATATGGAGCGTTACTGGGGGAGGGGGAAAACTGCGGGAAATTTGAAAAATAGCGGGAATTTTGAATGTTTTCCGGCGTTGTGATTGGTCCGTTCGAACACGTGACCACCGAGGGATCGTAATGAGTGACGTAGTGATGTATTATGTTCCCCTGAGGGTAAATGATGTAGGTTTGATGTTTCGAATGAGCGTACGTGACGAATAAGTTAATTAATAATCTAGCTAGAGGGGGCTAACTGGACCATCTAGTAAGTAAAAGTATGGAATAGCGTCCGGAGGGCTAAAACGTTGATTGACGGGTACAGAGTAATATTTTTTGCGAATGTTGTATAAAAATAAAACGTTCTATTAGTTATGATTATCAATGTATGTTATATTTGACGGCAACATGGTAAGTAAATGCATTTTTATAATTCATTTTTGAAAAGTTTTAAAAGAAACGTGTGTAAGTCTTTTCTTTTCAAATTTCAGCCAAACATTACATCGACACTATTGAAACGTGAAACCTCAATGAGTAAACGAGTCAAGAAAATATTATTACTGGACTTTCATAAAGTAGCCCACTGTAGACATTGGTCAAGATTTGTATTGGTAAAAGTAAATTATAAGGATAAACTACACGTACCAATGCTAAAAAATGAATAGTAGAATTAGGTATGTATCAAAAATATGTGTGTTACTTCATTATTTTAATATATCAAGCTTAATGAAATGAATGATAATTTTTTTTCATTTTTAATTGGAAATATAATAAAAGTATGGTAACAAATCACTTTTTTCTTTGTGTAAATGTTTCAGGCTACCTTCAAGATTTACCGATTTTTATATGACAGTGAAGCTTGTTATCCGCTAACATCAGACTGGTACACTAGTTATGAAGAAGCGGAAAACTCCATGGGAAATCTCTCCGAAACGGCTGACAATGTAACGATACAACAACGTAATATTTCGATACACAAGACACTCGCAGAATATGTACGCATAATTTTCATGTACTTAGTACACACGGGTGTAATGGAAATGTGTGTTGTGAACTGCTTGGGGTGTCAAAACGACTCCCCGGGTCAAATGGCACATATGAATGGGGGCTGCCTAACATTTATAGAGGAAGCTATAGACCAATATGCCATCGCTGTCAAACTGACTGTGCCAGAGTCGCAGATGGTCTATATTGAAGAACAATTGTATCTACGTTTGGGATTGCCTTCGAGAACATTACCAACTCAAGAGATTTTAGATATTCTAAAGTCAGATCCGGAAATCGAGGATGATCTGTTAACAGCCATCGCGACGGGTGAACAATCCCTGACAATGACGTTATTTAGTATAATTGATCAAATACTAATCGGATAATTGATGAAGAAACACATGAACAATGGGTGGTTGGTTAACGTATACGTCTGTAAACATGCGTCAAAATGTAATAATATGTTTGTAACTAATTTGAATGGACCAATAAATACATTATATATATGTAATAATTCGATTGTATGAAAGTTTGATTTGTGATTGACGATGTTGGTTTTAGACCTGTGCTTTGTGTAATGTTAAAGTCAGAATCAGATCTTTTTTCTGATAAAATAACAAAAAACATGTGAAATTGTCCTATAGATCTCTTCCTTACGATCTCAAAAACAATATCACCCAAAAAATTCACGATATGTTAAAAATTGATGAATTTATAATGGATTCAAATTGTAAAAATGACTAAAAATGTTTAGAAAAATAATACATTTTTGTAAAAATCGTTTATTGTCCTGAAATAAAGAAAATAGCTGCGAAAAGGAAAAAGATTTGAAAAATAAATTTTGTTAGACTGCCCGCTAGATCTGATTCTCTCTTTAATGATCCTTGTAAATACTCCAAGTTGTTCTCACCTAAAATCTATTTTTAGATATGTAAATGAATTGAACGTCTTACACTTTCTAACGTAGGGGTGATAGCATCTTAATCTATACATGTAATATTGATTTTCATTTTTGGGAAATCAGTTTGCCAACATGACAATGTATGTCAGGTTATTGATTGCTATTTGTCTGGTAACTTATATTGAATCCGAGTGTACCTTTTATAATGGTGTATGGATAGGTGATTGTCACCTCTCGAACGGTGAGTGACATTTTTAATGTTTTGAGTTGAAAGGCGTAATAAACCAATTGCCGTAATATTATCTGATTTTGAAATGACACATTGATTTTTTAAAAACTCTGATTAGTCTTAAAAAGGTTGAAAAACAGTATCGCATAAATACATGGGCATGTCAAATATACATCTTAGTTATGTGACGTGTATTACCTCGGTATAGAAAAGTTTAATGTTAATGTTATGCAAACGTTTCGAAAATGGCTTCCCGATATATTGTTAATAAACACTGATACGATTTAGTTAATCAAATGTTTATTGCTTTATCATTTTAGTCACGAAACCAGTTGTAAAGGTTATAAGGTCTGAGGATAAGGAGGATGAGACGTGGGATAGTGGGGATATATGCGGCCTTTATCTTGGGAGTATTTTCATTCCTGGCGAATGGCTCCACACTGTGTACGTATAATATTCATCACATCTAATAGGTTATCTGTACGTGTACGACACGAGATTTAAAATTTTAAAATTTTCTTGTTAATTTTTCAGAGCTCAGTAGGTCTTTTGTGATTAAGCTGACCAAAAAGTACATCCAAAAAATCAATTTGAAAAATTAACTTTTCCTGGCAACTTGTAGATGATTTTCAAAAAGGAATTTGGTCAAATTGAAGCAAGTTGAAAATTAACTAATTTTTACTGTTTATTTATGTCAAATATCTCAAAAACAGTAAAAATTTGATGCGGACGTATAATGAGCAGTTTGTAGAGAACGTTAAATCGTTGCAAGAAATGATCAAGTATTCACCTTTCCCCAAAATCAGCTCATGAATATTATAATTAGCAAATCTAGAATCTCTGACGTCAGAGTAGGGCAGATTTTCGCGGCAAAATCTGAACACATTACAAGTCAATGTGAATCCTGACAGACACAGGCTCATTTAATTGTTCAATCATTGTGAGTACCTAATAATCTGTATCATAAATGTGATGGCATTTAATTGATAACACTCTCGTTCATATTCTCCCTTCATTATACTGTTCTGAGAAATCAAATGAAAAGAGTAAAATTGATGTGAAGAGTCCAATGTTTACAGCAAATTGACCCTGATATGTACTTCTTGACTGTCAACATACCACTGACTACTGCACTGTAACAATAAGCTTGTGCGATATTTTCTCATAGTGTTAGGTGAAATAGATATTAATTGATCAATCAACAGTAAAAACTAGTCATATGTATCGGGGGGGGGGATAAATTATCAAGGTTTTTGCCTACTAGAGTTGGGCATACACTCCAGTTAATTAACAAGTATTGATGTACATCCAGCCAGGGAAATATAAATTAAAATGGGGAGTTTGAACAAGAGGCTTAATTCGGGACTTAATTAATGCCAGGGGGGGGCTTAAAGAAAACTTTTTCGACTCGTGAATCAGTGCTTGATAATAATTGATAAAAGATTTGCTCGATCCACTTGGCGTGAACTTAAATATTCCCCCATTCCTTGGTAATAATGATCAGATGGATGCCAATGATGTGTATCAAACACAGCAGATTACAGCAGATTGCCGCAGAAAGAATGTGGAACTTAGTATTAATAAAGTGAAAAATAACCACATCTTTGATCGAGCAATCCCGATCAATCTTTTCGGATCTATCAATCAAATCTGGGCTAACAGTGCGTTACTTTCCCCTTTTCGATCAGCCACCTATTATATCACAAGACAATCTTACTTTTATGTCTGCCGAAGAATTAATAATG